TTAAAGATATTTCGTGTCAAAGAAACCGAAATTGGAAAATTCACACGAAGTTTTATTACTAGAAATATTTTGTATTCAACAAACCGAAAAGTTGCCGGAATCTTTAATGATAACTGACACTTTAACATCCACAAAACTCAATAAACTAGTCTCTTTGTGGAATATATCAACGAATATTTTCATAGACTAAAAGTCTCTCCTTTCTTACTAATATTATAAATGCGAAAGTTTAGGTAGATGGATGTTTGTTAGAGTTTGTAACCTAAACGGCTGAACGGATCTCGGTGAAATTGACACAGATGTAGAAGATAGTCTGGAAGAACACATAGGTTATTTGATTATTTTTTAATTCCACGGGGTCGTAGTTTCGATTGAAAGCTAGTCTATACTTATCTTATAAAGAGGAAAGATTTGTATTTTTGTATGTATTGAAGTAACTCAATAACTAGTAGACCAATTTCAAATATTTTTTCACCAATAAAAGGCTACGTTATCAATGAGTAACTGTAATATATGGGTATATTTTGTTTTAATTTCATGTGTACGAAGTTGCCAGCAACAGTAAGTTATGAATAAACCAGAAAAGTAAAAAAGTTACTTTATCAAATTGAATTTAGGTGTATTGTAGTGTGTAAAATTCCATCCATATTTGATTGTGACGCGCACAAAGCGTTGCCGCAAAACAATAACCCTTTTGAGAGATTGGAAAATTGATTACATTGTCACTGTCAGTTTAGGTACAGAATTATTGAGACTGAACGAAATTCAAGTACAGGATAGTTTTCTATATAGAAGCTACCACATTTTTATCATTGAATACTCAAGTATCATCGATCTGCCAGTATCTAGTTTATTATTAAATTGTGATAACAACACCCTCTTTATTGGAAAATGATTAGTTCACATCTTATCTGCGTTTATAGCGAGCGCACCTTTGACTAAAATACCGCACAACAGTTGTGCGATGGTCGATCATTTTCCAACCTTCAACTGTTTAGTTTCACAACTAAGAGAGAAAATTAACAATATTTCTGCACACATATCTACATATAGGTCATAAATACAACCTGCAAGGGACCGGATATTAAAGGGAAGGGAATTTATCAGGCACCTGCCTTCATAATTTCGAGTCTTTGATGTCCAAATCAATTACCTACACGACCTGCAGTCAACAGAATGTTGTTTCTCAAAGTAGCTTATTTTACCAGTTTTTGTCATGTTTCTATGCTCTCATATTTTACTTATTAAAAACTTTTTATTAAATTGCAATGCTTCAAAACCTGTTTGAAAAAGCAAATCTTTCTACCTATTCACAGTAGAGATAAAAAATCAAATAAACCTCGTCACAGAAAATGTTTCTAAAATAATATTCAAGTGTTGAGTTTTTCGGGTATAAAAGAAAGGAATTCCACCTTTGACCTTCGACCAAAATACGCACACCAATGTTTATAGGCCAACAAATATTTTATGTATGCGGTTAAAATCAGAAAACTGGATGTCGTTCTATAGTCTAGAATATCTAGAAATTAGAATGTTGTATTATATTCATTACTAGCTTTCGCCCGCGACTCCGTTCGCGTGGAATTAAAAAAAAAGTGAGTATGTGTTCTTTCAGACTATCTTCTACATCTACACCAAATTTCATCGAAACTCTTTCAGCCGTTTAGGCTACAAACTCTAACAAAATTCCATCCATCTAAACTTTCGCATTTATAATATTAGTTTTATTGTCATACTTGTTAAATTCCTAATATTTTACTTGAAACTCCTCTATCATTTAAACGTTAAATAAAATATCTTATTTCTTTGTATTTCTAATTGTTTTTATTAATACGTTCCAATGAAAGTGTCTTAAGAATTAATGTATTAGCTACATTTCTGTATGTCAAGTCTGGAATACTTCATGAAACTCTGCAATATTTGAACACAATATTGCTGGAAACTTAAGTTTGAAGTGATATGAGATCCGCAGCGTAGGTTAATTTAACAAGTTTGTAGACAAGCTCTTTGTGGATTAATAAAACTCATATTGAATTAATACCGGGTTTCTGAAGTTTATATTCATTTTATCATTAGCTAGTGGCTCATTAAGTTGACCTAAGTTTCAATGGAGTAAAACTCAAGTTACGTAGTTCGGAATGATTTAAAAATAGCTGGGAAATCGGCTATAAACCATGGACATACTACGATGAGAGTATATTTTTCGAACAAGGAAATTGCTATATCCGAATTTCAGTGTTGTAATTTTTTAGTAGCATTTTATTACTTTTTAAAATTTTTGCTTCGTTTTTAGAATTATTGGTTGAAAGATAACGTTTTGTTATAATACATAATACAACTTGATAGAATGTTATGTAAAAAATTCATCAAACTCAGATGTCCATTTAAAATTAAAATTTGCTTGAATTTGTTTTTCTGTATATTACCAACAATGAATAGCAGCTCTAGTAATATTGTTTGTTTCTTGTTAAGTGAATGCGGTTCATAATTTCAGTATCCAGTTCGCCCCTCCCCCCATTCAATAAACAATGCAACCTTTGTCCGCGGGGACCAATTATATTGGATTGAGGACGCATTTTTAAAATTTCATAACGCTTCCCTCAATGGATAAAACATTCAACATTCCCCTCTTTGTTGCCGCTCCCTTATGTATCGTATGACGAAATAATTTCCGTTTCGTGTCATATCAGCTGTTTGTTGCTTTTTTTAACATATTTATTTACATAAAAAAATATGTTATACATTCATAGCTGTATCTATGAAATAGATTGGTAGAATAATGTCAATTCTTTAAATAAAATACCACTGCCTTTAACAATACTCTTTTATTAAAATGTTACTTTTCAAAATGTGTACTGACGTAATGATCATAATAATTGGTTTTATGCATTGTATTGTAAAAAAAAAACGTGAATGAAATAAACTATGCAAAAACAACTTATTTTTACAAACGCCACATAGATTAACCAGTGAACAGTATAACCATAAAACATTATAAAGAAAATCTCCCATTACGAATCTTGACCTCAATTCAAATAACGATTCAGAAAGAATTGTAATATTTTTTACTGTCTTCTTTAAATGTCCTTGGTCCCTTTTAAGTAATCTGTGATTTATTGCACTCGTAAACAATCTTACGATCCTCAGTCAGTGGAGATATTCAACTGTTCCATATGCCTAAAACATTTTACCACAAGGGAGTAGGCAGAGTATAACCATATACTCTTTATTTTTGTAGGAAAACAATCTTCTAGAATATTCTATACTAGCTGATGCTCGTGACTCCGTCCGCGTAAAATTAAACATATAGTACTCAAACAACGAATCTTTTTAATGATGAATAAATTTTTGAAATTGGCCCAGTGGTTTTTGAGTTATTTCAATATATACAAAAACACATTTTTTCCTTTTTTGAAAAAATCAAGGAGTTTTATTAACAGTTTTATTAATAGTGGACATTTACAATTTCTTAGATATTAAAAATCTGAAGTTAGTAGCAACTCGACAAAGCCAAGGAACTTACAAATGAGTTGTTTAACTACAACTCTTGCTATGAGATATAAAAATGAAGCAAGTTGTTAAATAGAATTTAGAGTAGGTAAAATCATCATCATCACCAGCTCACTAAAGTCCCCACCGAGGGGCTCGGAGCCTACCCTAAGTAAGGGGTGACTAGGTCATAGTCAACCATGCTGGCCAAGTGCGGGTTGGTTGACTTCACACATATCTTTGAATTTCTTCGCCGATATGTGCAGGTTGCATCACGATGTTTTCCTTCACCGTAAGAACGTCGGGTAAATTATGTACATATGAAAATTCGAAAAATCGAAAATCACATTGGTACATGGCGGGATTCGAACCCAAGAGCTGTAGATTACAAGACAAGTGTTTAAACCACTGAGCCACCGACGCTCAAAGGTAGGTAAAATAAACCTATAAAAGGCTAATAGGCATAAAAAGTATTCAAATTCGCCATTCGTAATAACAATTCCAATAAAGTTAAAATATTCCATTTTAATAATAATGTCAGTGATTAATTAAAATGTAAAAATATACCGCGTTTAATGAAGGGAAGTAATTAGGTCGAGACAAGGCAACGAACTTAATCCAAAACACAAGGGAAAATTAAAAAGAAACAATGTTATTTAAAATTTAAATCAAGTTTATTAGGAAAAAGATGGAAATAAAAATGTATAATTCAAAGGTTATTGGCATTATTCCAGAAATAGGGCTTTGTAAAAAGTGTATTAAAAAAACAAGTGAATATCTATTTAGGTTTCATTATGATATATGCCATATTCCTCGAAGTATAAAGTAGCCTAACCAGTTGAATTCTGATTAATTAAAAAGTAAATCAAAATAAACCAATTGTAAGGCGTAAAGAAAACTTCATTCCTTCATTTAAAGTTAAAGCAACCACAATAATGCAAACCAACTCAATAGAAAAGACGAGGAGCGAATATAAATGTATACCTGACACTAACAAAGGCCTTTCAATTAACGAGTTACAAAGTTCCATCAGGCGCTTCGATAATGATTTGATGGAGAGCCATCTCGTGTAAAATATTCGCCCAACCCCGTTGTAAGGACATTTCAATCAAATTTAAGAGCGTCGAAGTCAGGTGTAAATTGGTTTAAATTAAACAATAATAAAGCTAATGAAGAAAGCACTCTAAGGTTGATTAAATCTAAAATAACTATTGAATCTGTCAGATATTTTGACTTAATTTTTCTCATAATCATGACAATCACATTATGAAAAATAAATAGGAAGACGATGAATTCTATCTCTATCTCCTCAAATAAAATGAATATATGAAAGTGGCTCATCCGTTAAGAGGTTATATCGACTATACGGAGGTGACAATTAAATTCACTTACATTCGCGCCAATCTAAAAGTTGACACTAGTAAATTAATTAAATTAAATATCCGACCGTCTTCAATCAATTTGTGTATCCCTTTTAAACTATATTACAAGATAATTCTCTTATTTCACAGGTAGCGAGAATGCGGCTCAAATAGATAAGATAAGTTATGACGCGGGCCGCGCTCGGATCCGACGCGAAAATGTTGCTGGAATTCCAATTCACGGAAATTGTTATACCGTCAAGAGATCTAAATGAAATGAGAAATTTAATTTAAAACTTGAGATGGATAATGCGGCTGGTGATGAAAAGTTTCTTCGGAATAACCTTAGTGCTACAACAGATATCTGAAGTACTTTAAAGTGTTGATAACTCGAGTGTGTTTTGCTATAATAGTAAACAGTGCGATTGGTGATAAAGTTGACGCCAATGAAATACAAAGTGAATACTGAAAAGTGTTTTTAACAGATTAGTGAAGTTTTAATCGTTAGTTATATGATGAAGTGAAACTATGGGTTGTCAATTGGGTAAGCTAGCTTCGTCAGAGAGGCGCGGCGCGGGCGCGTGCGCTGCCCCGGCGCTGGCTGACGCGCCGCCGCCAGCCACGGACCCTCGACTGCCGCTCACCGCTAAGCAGAAGTATTCAATGTTGGCTTCATGGAAGGGAATCTCCAGAGCAATGGAGAAGACCGGCATCTGCATGTTTATCAAGTAAGTATGTAGCAAAGGCATATACATACAACATGCTATTGAAGTATAGGTTATTTTTTTACTATGCTTTGTAGTTGATTTCTTTCATCATATTTTAGTTATAAAACGTTATATCATTTAAGTTGTGAAATACCAATAACTGAAACTTTTTTATAACGTCGTAAACAATAGACGAAGTTTTGTCTTCTCTGAACCGTTTATGACGAAGAATAAAGATGCCGTGGAATCAGACGACAAAGTTTCGAACGCTCGAAGCCTTAAGAAACTCATTAGAGTTGAACAAGTCTAAATGTTAATAAACAAACATGGTAATTTAAATTACATTTGAGTTAAACACATATCTATTTTCATCTCTACATAAAGCGTATAAAGTGGGGGACGTATATTTCGTACCCATATTGATAAAACTTTTGCACTCAAAGTTGTTTAGTAGCCACATAAACGGTTGTTTAGTAGTGTGTTCTTGTACTAAATCATCCCTGAGGATCTTGTATAGCAATTCTTGCAGTTAAAGGTTTTTTTTTAACTAGGTATTTTTTTATTATCTGTACAGGTAACAGAAATGACCAGATATGCAGAACTGTCACTTGAGCTTCAATCCCCTGTGACTATAAACGGGTTAAATTTAGCTTTGTAGGTCAACAGGGGTTGTTAGAGACCCGACACAGCCCGGCGCGGCTGCGATGTACAAAGTCTTTGTATTCAATAATAGAATACCTTCTTTGACGTACTGAATTGAAAATGCGAAACTATTCGAATTTTTATACGTACCAAAAATACACTTAATAATAATTTATGTGCCAAATAATGCGGGCAACCATAAATATGTTCGTATTTTTGAATCCCTGTTAAAGACATTAAAAAAATGTATAGACCAGGCATAGTGAACAAGTTTTTCACCGTTACTTTCCCTGAAAGGTTTAAAAAAAATATAATAAGCTCTATGTTTTGTAGTAAAAAGTTTTGTTGTTACAAAAGAAATTATAAACATTTAGATATGAATCAATGACATCTATTGACAATTAATAAAAATAAAATTAATAGGTAACGTTAGTGATTTTATGTGAACAATGTTTCTAATTATGTCCCCTCTATATGTTTGTTAAACTCTTTGATTTCTGTGGTCGATTTTTAAAAATTATATCGTAGTACGAGCATAGTTTATTTTCTATGGTTACGAAGTAAATTATAGTTTCTATTTCAATGTGCTGTCTGAAGAGTTTTATTTCTTCAATTGAGGTTTCCTTTTTAAAAAGTTTTTAAGCGTTTTAAAGCTATTACGTTCTTTAAAAGCAAAACAGTTTTGAATAGAATTCAAGAAGGCGTTATGAATACAAGCCAACGCTAACTAAGTTTCGAACGGCAGAGTACCAGCGAATACGGACCGCAAAAAAGGCAACCAAGTTAATTAAGTTACAGGGCACTGTTGTTCCTGGTATTAAAAAGTTGCTTTTTTAGATACGTAATTGAAAATGAGAATAGATGTGTTAAAAAAAATAGAAAGTAGTCTTAAGGGGAGAAAGCTAGAAGGAAATAGATTATATTAAAAATTAAGTAAATCTATTAATATTTCAAAGTGAACTAGAACAAGTTTCGTTAACAATAAAACGGTAAAAACTGGATACCTTTATTATTTACATATTTTTATTACATTCTAACTATTCTCCTTTTCTTGCATACAAAATGCAAACGGTAAAACACAAATAATGATAAAACCACATTTTGAAATTATCATCTTAATAAATTCATCGCCTATTATTCAGAAAACGGACTTTTGCGAATTTATATTTGAAAATTCATAACTTAAATTTCAAATATGCAGTCGACACGATCGTCGAAAGCAACGAGTGCCGCTCCGAAGCGCTGGACATTTATAAACATTCATTTGAATGTTCAAACTCATGTACCCAGAGCTCCCACGAAGGAAATATTATTTCAAGTAATAATACTACATATTCTCTTTTTATAAGTTAAAATAGTCTGAATAGTCTGAAACGTGACCAAGCCGTTCAATATTACCTTTTATAAAAGTCATGCGCCTGTAAAAAAATCAGTTTACTTTTCCAATGATACCATTGCTATGCAAAACGAGTAGGGACAAAATTACTTTAACCAAAGATGAAGATCTGCATATCCTCTTGCGCATTGATATAGAAAGTTTAATGAAATCATACAATTTAGTTCCTCTTCGTTATAGTTCAGGGACAAATATAAAATCAGACAATAGTAGTTAAACATTTGTACTAACAGATGGCGCGTTCAAAGTTCCTAAATGCAGCGCTCGGGTGGCGACCGCAAACAATGTGATCAAACTTTATCAGCCTCTGTTTGTAGTGTTTCCCTAATTAACTGGCTTCGCTTTGTTTTGGAACTTTGTTTTATTGCTTGCCTTTTAAATTTATGTCATTATAATAAAATATTATATAATACTAGCTGTTGCCCGCGACTTCCTCCGCGTGGTATGAGAAAACATACGAACTATTTAAATAACTAAAAGCTACGTATCCCTCAGGAACCGGACATTCCAACCATTTCCCTTGTGTACTCCAGACTTTGTTTTATATCTGTGCCAAATTTCAATGAGATATGTTGAACCGTTGCAGAATGATCGAGTAAACATTAAAAATCTAAATTAATGAATCCCACGGGAACCGTAACTATTCCCGGGATAAAAAGTACCCTATGTGTTCTTCCAGACTATGCTCTATATCTGTGCCAAATTTCATGGAGATCCGTTCAGCAGTTTAGGCTACAAACGCTAACAAACATCCATCCATCCATCTAAACTTTCGCATTTATAATATTAGTAAGATTAGAAGACTCTTGGGAGTCCGAATCTGGGAGACAGAAAAGTTTGATTAAAATGCTTCAATACTTTGTTACATAAATAGTATTTTTTTAAAGATAAAAAGTTTAGGTAGAATATCTTTGTTTGTAAATATTTTAAACTATTCAAATGCACTCCAAGTTGACTGAACATGTGCACGTCGCTATGAAATGAGCGGAAAATTATTTATCTCTCTTATTTCCAGCCGCTGATTTTATTCGAAACCATTTGTTTTCTATTTCTTTTACATTCTATGTTTAGACTATTTCTATACACATTTAACTTTTATAGAAGTTACCTCTTTATTACATTTTGTTACCTTATTGAAAAAAGGCCTGCAAATACCATTACCATCCCTAAATTGAAACAGATAATTTATCCTTACCAAAAATAAATATGAAAGAAAAAAAAGTATAATAAAAATGTGGAAAATAAACCCAACAATTTGCCTGTCCTAAAAAATATCAATTTTGTTCGAAATTACGCGACCCTTAGAAGATATTTGATCGGGATTGTATAAAAATTCCGGATGGTCGATTCGGTTCTTAAAAGGGGTATTTAATGAAGACAATTTCATTTATTATATGTTTTTTCACTTTATTATTTTTTTTTTATAATAAAAGGTGGCAAACGAGCAAACGGCTACCTGAATCCACCGAAGTGGTAACCGACCGAAGCCCATAAACATCCGCAATTGCAGATGCGTTGCCTACCCTTCATTGACGAAGGAGGAGACGCAAATAAGAGAACATTTCCCCTTCATATGCATCTACTCTACCGTCAAATCCACTTTTCCTTTCCATCCTTCCTAAATATGTGTCACAGATAATAAAATAATAGACTACAAAATCGGACAAGGAACTTCATGTGGTAAAGGTAATACACAGGGGGACAAGTGGCCAAGATTAGAGAGCAAGCGTATTATGGTAACGGTAATTTTGATATTTGAAATTGAGAATTTGACAAACATAAACAATAATAAAGTTTTTATAATTACAAGCGGATGAAGCCGCACGGGAACAGCTAGTAACCATGCATAGTATTAAATTGTTAAATGATCAGTGTTTGTAAAATAAATTCCTTTTACGATAAAACACACAATTCCTTAGTATTTTATTTAGAAATTTATCTGATATCGTGTTTCTTATATATCACTTTTATTCGTTGAAATAAATCCGATATCGCTTTAATAAAAGTGAGTACTAAATAGCGTATTTCATTTGTTTTGTCTTTGTCTTGTTTCAGAACTTTCATTTGTTTTACCTCTTTCAATGTTTTATACTCGTATAATCCCATGCAATCCACGGACAAAGGTTCGGGCTAAATCCAAGCGGATTCAATTATTCGGAATAGTATTTTGAAAGTCCAAATGGGAATACATTAGTGGACGTTTACAACGAAAAAAAGAACCTTTCTAACGAAAAAACTAACTGAGAATTTTATTCGTATATGTCGCATGAAATTATTTTTTTTTCGTACGAAATGAAACGTAATATAGCTTTTTGTTAAGTTAGACCAAGTACTTTTTAGCTTTGATATTTAAAAAATTGAATTTTAATTCACAAATCATACGAATAGTAAACAATAAAATAAAGTTTTTATATTTTCATGCGGATGAAGCCGCACGGGAACAGCTAGTCACTTTATACTAAAGAAACGTTTCACTAATAAACATTTTAATACTCCTCTTTCTAGTAGTAATATTAATAATACAGATAAACAAAGCCAGTAATTACAAGTTTCTAAATGAATTACTTTGTCATGTAAACAAGCTGTTAATATTCAAACAATAAAATAGTTATTTAATAGCTTGAAATACCATTACGTAATATTAACATCCTTTGTAATCTCAAATTTAATTTAACTAAGTTAGTTAGTTTTTAACTTTTATCATTTTTGATTACAAACTAACATAGAAAAAAGTGCTATTCAATTCTGTGATTATTTCTTTTAGATTTTTCTAATGATCCTTGTAAAATGTAAATAAATGATGGGTACATTAGTCTGTTCTATAACTTCACATTTTGTCCGAACAATTGTGGTCACTTTGCTTATGTACTAAATATTATATAACTTTATTCCTCATCATGTAAGTGGTGAGTCATGTATCTCATACACGATAACAATAAAACCGTGAGCGGTCTCGCTTACGTTCAGTAACAGACCCCGAGTT